GTTTATAAAATTTCAAATTTTTCCATTTTTTTCAAATTTATCGATTTTGTAAGTCATATATCTCGAAGGCAGAGCAATGAAACAAAATATTTTTTTTACCAATCGGTAGCTTGTGAAGTTCCCTACAAATAATGTCTTGAGAGTTTTTCAGTCTCATACTTTCTTTATTTTCTGCGATCATGTCTACAAATGGGTCATATATGACCCATTGGGGGGTAAAGGGTTAAATATAGATAACCCTCGGTGATAATATTAATTAAGTAATATTATTTATAATAACGGAATAGCTTTTATTTTATTTTTTATTTGGAACAAAGAATGAAAGTCCTTATAATACATTAGATGCTTAATTCGAGTCCGAATATAAATGGAGTGCTAAGTGCTTATAATTACTTCGAAAATAAATGAAGAAAACGGCTTCCATGTTGAAATACACTCGTGAACAAAAGTCTTTTCCCCTCCTTCCATGAGTGTTTTTTTGTATGTTGATGTTGTTTGTTCTTAAGTCAATTCTAATTATAAGGATGCCTTTAGTATTTGATTTTAGTATCATATATCATTGATTATGATTTGCTTCGAAAAACACTATAGGTCTTTCGATATAATCAACTACCACTACAAATGACCTGCTGGCAAAATGCTTCATGACTGAGTTATCTATTTTTTCCATATTTTCTGAATTATTTTGTTGGTTCCAACTGATTAAACTCTCTTCATCGGCGACTTGAAGCTCGATCTAAGAGACAGTATACTCGACCCTACAAATTAAGATAAACCAAATCTAGTAAAACATCCAGAAAAAATCGAAACAAGAAATAACTCAGTCATGAAGCATTTTGTCAAATACGTCATTTGTGATAGCGATTAATTATGCTGAAAGACGTACAGTGTTTATCAGAGCAAATCGTAATCAATGACACATGATACTGAAATCAAGTACTTAAGCCATCATTGTAATTAACATTGACTTGAGAACAAACAAGCTCCATATACAAAAAAAAATGATAAGGGGGGGGGGGGCGGAAAGACTTTTGCTCACGAGCGTAGCACAAAAGCAAAATATATATTTTATACTAATTAAAAATTAATAATTCGAATTGAGACACTTTTATATAAGTCTGGCAAAAAAGCAAAAGATAAAATTTTGTATAAATTATAATTTATAAATTTGAAGGCATACGAATGTGGAAATAGCAAAGAAACAGACAATAGCACTTTTTCTAAATTATAATACTTAATCTCATGTATACTATTCTCATCTGAGATGCTGGAAACATCAAGTGAACCGCTAGAAGCATTATCTGAAGCTCTAGATGCATCATCTGAGATGCTAGAAGGATCATCTGGGATGCTATAAGCATAATTTTGCATGCTAGGCACTTCATCTGAGATGTTAGGAGCATCACCTATGATCCCAGAAGCATTGTTTGGAACGCCACAAGCATTCTCTGAGTTGCAAGAAGCCTTATCTGGGATGCCAGGAGCATCATCTGCAATCCTGAGCGCATCATGTGAGATGCTAGAAGGATAATCTGGCATGCTAGAAGCATCATCGGGGATCCTAGAAGCGTCATCTGGGATGGTACAAGCATCATATAGGATAGTAGAGTCATCATCTGGGATGCTAGAAGCATCATCTGGGGTGCTGGACACATCATCAGAAACCGTGGACGCATCATCTGAGATCCAACAAGTATCATCTAGGGTGCTGGATGCATCGTCCGAAACTCTAGAAGCATCATCAGAGATGCTAGAAGGGTCATTTGAGTGGCTGAAATAATCATGTGGGATGCTAGAAGCAGCATCTGGGATTCCAGAAGCGTTATGTGGAATGCTAGAAGTATCGTCGAAGATGGCTCAGGCACTCTTTCGGATACATCAAGTAGCATTTTACTGTAGCTCTCCAAACCATACACTAGGAATACATGTGAGCATGAAATAAAATGCTAGCATAAGGACAACACGCTGCTATGTACTCCCTCTGCTTAGAATAATGGTAGGGCTAATCGTAGAGCGACGCACGTAATACCCATCTGCCGCAAAAGGCTTTTCCTCATGTAACTGACCTTTTATTTCAGTATCGCGGCGTGAGGACGCAAAGCGCCCCACGAAGAGCCGCAACCCATACTCGTCTCTGTGTGCGCAGTAATGCATGTGTGATGCTTGGGCCACTCTACCCACATCTCTTTCCAAGTCAATTGGCCATGGAACCTGTTCGCTAACAGTTACTGCCTTCCAGTTATCATTCAAGCATCTCATGAGTTTCTTCTCGCGCCCGCAAATGTCGTTAACATACCAGGTTAGATCTGAAGGATTCCAGGTAGTATCTGTGGCATCACAGCTAACACATATAGTACTCCAGGTGGTACTTGTAGCATCTCAGGCAACATCTGCAGCATTCTAGATAACATTCGCAGCATACCTCGTAACACATGCAACATCCTAGCTACTATCTACAGCAATCAGGTAATACCTATAGCGTCTCAGAGAATAGTTCACGCGTGCTCAGGGTATCTCTAGTATTTCAGATGGTCGCGGTACCATTTCAGGTAGTATATGCAGCACTCCACATAATATTTCTAGCACCCCAAGGATATCGATTGGATTCCTTGTAGCGCCTTTTGTATTACATGGGATGATTTTAGCGTTCCACGTAACATATGTAGCATTCCTTCCGAAATCTGTACTATCCTATAGAACACCTGTAGCAATATACATGATAACAGCACGATCCCACGTAAAATCTCTGCCATTCCTGGCAACACTTCAAGTATTCCAGGTAATGTGTGCGAGATTCCACATCATATCTTTACCATGACAGCTAACACCTGTAAGATTCCAAGAGATATTTGCGGCATTCTATGTAACACCTCTCCTATCTGAGCGAAGAGTCGCAGCAATCGCGCAAGCGTTACAAGTTGCAAGTTAATGCACCAAACTGAAACTTCAAACTTGAGACCTCAATCGAATTCAAGTATGCAGTTTTACACCAGAGCAATTTATAAATTCGAATTACATACAATTTTCTCATTTTCTTTCTTGCCAGACTTATATGGATGCATCAATTCGAATTATATATTTTGATAATTAGGATAAAATTTATCTTTTGCTTTTTTGCTATGTTAACATGAGTTCTGGGTTTTTTTTGCGATTTTCCATTTATATTCGACCTCGAATTAGACATCTACTCTTGTAATAATTCTTTTGCTGTAATTTGGTTATTGTTGAAACGATCATATAATTTTTTAGTTCGTTGTTCAGCAATTCTTGATTGAGATCGTTTTGTACTAGGTTGCATTTCACTATTTATTTGAACAATCAAATCATGAACGGTGTTCACTTCTTTTTGAATTGAATCAATGAACAACCATATATCAGAATGAGTTTTTTGTAAATGCCTTTTAAACCTATGGTTGTATTCTAAAAATATACAGCAGTCTAGTTGCAAGTTGCAATTGATACTTTGGTTTCATATACCTTCACTAAAACTATTAGTTCTATCAGGAATGTCAAAAACATTCCACATTGGTATTCGACGCATCTAATGATCATTAAAATATTTGAATAAATCAGCTATTTCATCACGTTCAGCATCACTTAATTCTTGTCCAAGACGAGCAAATAATGACGGAATATGTCGTTCAGGTACTAAAGCTAGTGCCATTATTTTTCGAATAACACTGCGTATCGTAAGATTATCTAAATCAGCTGATGATAAACCAACTGATTTAACATGTCTATATATGGCTTGAGTGAAATGATAAAAGGAACCCTTTTAGACAGTTTTTTCTGTAAACTATAAAATAAAAGATATATATGTGTTAATCAGAAAGTCTTGAAAATTTTGAAGATAATTGTACGTCGAAAATGATTGGTTTTGCAATACTTGCTTCGAAATCTGTCATAATAAGTAGAGAATCAAATTTTTTGTTAAATTTATTTGTTGTGGTAAATAAAATATTAAATAAATGAACATATGTTTCAGCTTTACGATTAGAAAGAAATGCGTACACCACCGACACACCTATTGTAATGAAAAAATATTTTATTAGTATAAAAAGAATTTGAATATTTAAACATTTTATTAAATCGAAGTAGCTTACATGTTCCATGATGAATACCCTGAATAATAAATATTTGGTTGAAGTTTTGTGGAGAAGTACAGAAAATACCATCCATATGAAACCTTTCACTATGAAATAACAATTTCAATTGAATATCTGATGACCATACTAAAATTCTTCCTGTAGATTGTACGTTTTCTAATTGATTGATTTGAAATTTTGGATCATCACTATCGTGTAATAATAGTCGAGCATTATTATGATAATCTTTTGTGTATATATCGGGAATAAAAAAAGAAGATGATGATAGAAGATGAGGATTCATTTTCCAGCGATTATGTATTAGATTATGACCTGAGAGAAACATAAACAAAAAACAGATAAGTGAATTAACTTTACATAAAAATATTAGTATCATACCAATAGTTGTTACATGAGGTAGAGCAACAAGAGCTTCAGCTGTAAGTAAAGCTTTACGTATTTCTTGCTCAGCAATTTCTTGTAACAGTAATAATTCATTTTCAGCTCTTTCTCGCATTGTTTCTCTCGAATTTCGTATTTCTAATTGTACTGGATTTGGTAAATGAGATTGATCAGTAACTTTTCCAGTAAAACGTATAAATTCATCATCAAGATTTGTATGTAAAATCATACCACAACTGCTATCAGCACACCACCAAAATTTAATAGTTTTATTTTTATTAAAACTTTTGAATTGAAAATTATAACCTTCGATGAACAGCATTAATTTCCGTTTATTTGTTTTTGTTTTTGTAACATTTAGTTTAACTGATGTTGACAATGATGATGAATATTCAGTTGAAGAATTTGATGATGAATTTTCAGTTGAAGAAGATGATGAAGATGTCTCATCCATCATAATATCTTGTGATTCAATTCAAAAAATATTTGTTTTGGTTATTTATAAAATATTGTTTAGGCACAACTAATTGTAATTTATTAAAGTTTTCTTTCGTTCTTATTGATTCATTTAATATAGAAATTCTCTATATAAACAAGTTAAATATGTCACAATATGTTTCGATTACAGCGTCATCTATGTGTCCAGTGGCATGATATTTAAAAAACAACAATTGAGAAAGAGGAACATTTTTACATGAGGGACCATTTCTCAAGGACATTTATCATGAAAGACATTTTTTCAAGGACGAAATCTGGAGGGCATTTTTTACGAGGACGAAGATTCGGGGACATTTCGTCAAGGATATTTTTCTAAAGGACATTCTAGTCTGTATTCCCTGCATGCACACTCCACATGGACACCCACATACGCAGCCTTTGTTCAACCTTGATACTTCTCAGAAAGATTCTGACCATTCTAGACCGTCCTTAGCAAGAATCCGAAATGCTTACCCTTGAACAGATATGCATAACAGGAACGTATAAGAAAATGAGGTAGGATATAAATTAAACTATGGCTGAATTCATCAGTTGAAGATTCTCACTGCTATTGAATTATTCTCTGTTGGCTCCTTGTCTGGTTTAGCTATACCTCCGAGAAGAATCATGGCACAAAGATTACGAAGAAATCCTGGTAGAAACTTGATGAAACCAAAGCAGATTTATTTCTGTTATTCCTGTTAAGATCTTGAGTAAAACCTAGAGTAAATCCTACACTCTAAGAAAAAAGTTTTCTGGGAAACTTATAGAGAGTTTTCGAATTTGTTACTATGTGAGACCCTTTACAGGCTTTTGGAACAAAGTTTCCGAACCGTCGGAAACCTGTTGAAAACATTTTGAAACAATCAAAAAAATTGTGGATTCCGAAAACCTCACAAAAGTTTTTCATAGTTTGAAAACCTTTGAGACGTTCTCCGTTATGATAAATCAGAAATCCAAGGAAGAGGATTTTCCACAAGGAGAAAAAGCGAAAATTCCCTACTTCAAGGATAATTTAAAGCTATCTCTAAGAAGTTCCTAGCTGCTTTAAGTCTTTTGCAAGCATGTGTCACGATCTTATCAGTTTAACTTCATTCTCAATGAATCTATTTTGAACAAAACCTCAAATACTTGATTGTACTTCAAATTTAGTATAAGTGAAGAATGATGAAGTATTTGAGCTTTTATAATAGATTTACTTGCAATGAAGTCAAACTGATATGTTTGTGACACGCCTTTGTAACAGACTTAAAATAGCTCAGAACTCCTCAGGGATAGCCTTAAATAACTCTTGAAGTACGCTCAAGTACTTTGAAGTACGGCATTTCCACTTGTCTCCATTTGTTTTCGAACCTTCGAAAGGCATTACCGATCATGTCAAAGATATTTTACTATCAGATATTTGGCGGCGTAAGATATCAGGTTCCAACAATCTTCCAGTCATAAAATACTGCCTAATCCTCCTAACTTTTGAGGTCTCACTCAGGACGATAATTACAAGGATTGTAAACGGCCCGTGTCGCACTCGTTTGGTATCGAGAGTATTATGGTCATATAATGTCGTGTCGTGTACAGTGAAATGCAAAGGTCTGATACACCGAACTCTGTACTGCAAGACGGTCGATTTACGCGGAGACGCTAGGATACATCGAAGTTTACGGCAATATATAGACGTGAAACAACGTAACTAGTGTGCTGAAATATGACACTTATAAGTGCGGCAACACATCTTGTCAACGCTCAAACCAATAATTCAGCATTTCGGATTCATCAACAAAAGTAAAAAAACGATACACATACAAAACACGGCTTTGAAGGCCTCTAAAGATCTTTCTAACAAAAATGCATTTTTCTCGACAAACACTCACCTACAACAAATGTGATGATTTCCAGAGGCATTTATGATGTCTTACTCTATGAGAACCCATTCATCTCGATAAGAAATCACGTTATTTGAAGATTTCTAAAAATAGGTCCTCAAAGACTTTATCACAAAAACAAATTTTTCAATAGGTATTCACCTAAAACAAAGATATCGATTATGAAAAGGCTTAACAGTGTTATATCCTATAGGAATCCAAACATTTCGATTGCAAAGCACATTATTTGAATATTTCCAAAAAAGGTGTTTAAAGGCCTTTTCACAACAACAATTTTTTTCCAATATGTGAGCTAAATCAGGCAAAATGGAACATTTACACCTTTCATTTCACATTAATTCTCTGTGATAGTGAATTTTTTGGACAAATTCTTTTAGCATAGACTGATATGAAAAAATTTTGTCTTTCACATGGTTAATAATTATAATTAATTAATTAAACAGTAATTAGCTAATATCTCGCTAATCAGATGAGAAAAATATTCGAAAACTTCAGGATAGGCTCTAGGGTACGAGCTGCATCTATGGTAAAATTTTCAGCAAGATTGTACTCCAAAAAATTTCTACCGAAAAACCGATTTTCTAGAGATCGTCAAAAGTGCAGAAACGAAAACTTTTGTCTTATTATCATCTAGGGCTCTGAGTAATGATTTATAACGTTTGAAGTCGATTTCGAACTTTTCAGTTGGTTATAAGAGCACCTTCTCGGTTGTGTGGTCGCACTGCGTTGCGTCGCTAACGACCAATAAATTGGTTTTTTTGAGAAATCTAAGCATTCTCAGAAAAAATTTGGATATAGATTTCATAGTCTCAGGAGTCATCTACGGAATGCCCTATTTAGTTTTCTAAACTTGTGCATGAATTAGGAGTTTTTAAAAACTAGACTATAAAGTGAAAATCGATGTCCCTTTTTTTGTCAGGTCACTAACGTTAGTTTTTTACCGATAAGTTCTCTGAACAAAGCTTCATAGTCCTGCTTTTTAAGAATATCTAGAGTAACTTAATATCCATGCAGTATATAAAAATCAGGTCTAAGAAAGCGCATTATCCTGAGATACATTTATTTTAATTTTGCGAATTTATGTCGCTAACGAATGATTTAGCCCATATATTCACCTAAAACATGGGTGGCGGTTATAAAGAGGCTTAGGATTGTCTTGTTCTATTAAAATCCATTTGTTTAGATCAGAAATCAGATTATTTCAAGAATTTCCTTAAAAAAAGGCTTTAAAGCCCTTTTTCACAAAAATAGATTTTTATCAATAAGTATCCACCTAAAACGAACGTGAGGATTATCAAAAAGGCTTCATAATGCCTTATTCTATAACAATCTATTCTTCTGGATGATGAATCAACATACTTCAACATTTTTGAAAAAAAAAGAGCATTTTTAATTCAACTTACTCAGATCTCAGTCGACATCCAAATGAACTGAACTGTATGGTGACCGTCATATATATATACTTTAGGCCGTCCGGACGTAAATAGTCTGTCCACAGTGTTTGGCGCGTTGTCTAATACGGCTATGAGGACATTTAAGTCCCCATGGAGAGGTCATTCACCAAATTATTTCTAATTCTAATACGTGTACATAATGTAGTTCCTAGACGGTTGCCCTCAGATGCTAGCAGCATCATCCTAGATGCTAGAAGCATGGCTGAGGATGCCAGTAGCATCGTCAGGAATGCTAGAGGCATCTGCAGGCATGCTTTAGCAACCTCAGACATCCTTTTAGTGTCTTCTAGAGCTGAGTCGGAGCACTGACAGACAGCTTTAGCTCTGCGAACTGAGCTGGAGCTTCACATACCTATTTCCCTCAACCCAACCACTGAACCATTTGATTTCAGGTAAACTAGGTGCCAATAAAAGACATTCAAACTAATACAAATGGTGAAGTGACCCGATGATGGTTGATATTTACTAATTAAATCGTACCTGGTGTCCATTTTTATTAATACTAACGAATAAGTAAGGATATTTAAGCTTGTTAAATGTTACGTGAACTAAGTTACGAGAAAAGAAATGGTCCATGCGTGTCCTAAACCTGTAAACTATACGATGAAAACATGAGAATGAGAAACAGGATATTTTAATGTCATTGAGATTTTCCACAATGATTAATTGGTTTGCGAGTTTTTCTACGGAAACTCAACGGTTTCTGATAATTCGGAAACTCCGAAAGGTTCTCGAAATATGTTGGGAAACCAAGCTAGTCTTCTGGCATACGCTTCCAATGTTTCCGATCCCGGAAACTGAAAAAGGTTTTCGAAGAAAAAAAGTCGAAAATCCATAGGTTTCTGAGAAGATTTTGAAAACAAGAACCGTTTCTTCAGGATACTTTTTGCTGTCGAAAATAGTATTAGAGTTTTTGAGAATATTGTTGAAGGTTTTCGGACTCGAATTCTCGAATATACAACCTTTTGGGGGAGTTAGAAATCCATAAGATACTTTCAAAAACTCAGCGTTGACTCAGAAAACTTTGTGGATATCTTTATGCGTTTTTGAAAGGCTTTGCGAAATGGTTTCGGTTTGTGGAAAAACGTTTCTTTTTAGAGTGTAGTAGAATCCTTCGTTCTTAATTAACCTATGATGCCAAAGTAGTTGTCGAAATGTCGAGGCATGATTCTTCGTTTAGGTACATCGTAGAGAGCCAATTATTTTTTATTTGAAAGAGCATGTTTCAAAGTACAAAGAAACAAAATCAACAGAATACAAGTCATTATGCCACATAGAATGTAATTACTTTTGAATGTCCGGTATCATGGCTTGCAGTATTTTCTGTTCAATTACTTTGACCTTCAATTTTATTCGACTAGTTAACGAGCCGAAATCTTTTGCTTCCCAATTATCTGCATACACTTTTTGTTCCAAAAGGCTCTAAACAGTTTCAATTGGACGTGCTTGAGGCACATTTTACGGATTATTCAACTTAGACACAATTGTTATACTTTTTTCTTTTAATTGATCGAGGACAATCCCCGTATAATATGCACTGGCTTTATCCGGTGAAAGAATGTAATCATCATTTTTATGGTGTTCTTCAATAAATAGTAATAATGTTTTATTAATACATTCATTTAAATAAATGTCACTGGTAATTACTTGTTCACTTTTATGTACATAAATATCGGATACACCTTTTGATGGCATGATCATCAACACTAAAAGTTTTGATGAAAATTCATTTTCCTTTTTATATTTAACATGAAATGGAGTTGTTAATGGATTAGTTGTGTAATACCTTTGATCACATTGAACATTATCACCACTCGAACCAAAATATTTTTCATAATCCAAAATAATATCACAATCATTCAAAATCATTCTGTAGAGCTTACCACAACTTTTTCTAGTTCTTTTTTCTTGGTCTTCACTTACAATTTTTGGTACCTTTCATCTTTTTCTTACTATACAACTAATTGTTATTTGACGAACTTTGTAACGTTTTGTAATTTGACGGCGCTTGATATTGGTTTTATTATCGACAGCTGTCACCAAACCATTAAGCTATATGTTAATTATTTCGACTGGACAACCTTTTCGTGGCAAAAATTCAGTTGTGCCATCTACCAGCTGCTTTTTTAGGATGTATCAAATGGTTCTTTCTGGTATGTTATATTTTTCGAGGTAAATAACGGTTGTTTTCATGCTCTGATTTGTGTGCATCTTCGAAAAAGTTACAAACACGTTTTGCAAGCTCTTCCATTTCTTGGCATCTCATTGAATATAGAAAATACTGCATCTACATTTAAGGCAGCACTTGAAAGTTTAGAACAAGTTCTTGCAAATAAAAAAAATTACTCTTTACCATGTACCTAAGCGGATCATCGTGTCTCGACGTTTCAGCAATTACTTTGGCATTGTAGATTAATAGAAAAATCTCAGTAGAAACTTCAAAAAGATACTGAAAAGGATTCGCTTTCACAATGAGATATCCTGCAAACCCGTATTACTAAAATTCAAAACACGATTCTGAATAAAACATGAAAGAAGTTTTCAGATTCAGGATCCTGAACGATCCTTTCAGACTTTCTAAACGAAAAACAGGATTGCGGCTAGAATAGCAGATTGCCTTAAGTTCTGACAACTGTAGGCCAATGAAGAAAAAGCGGTTCTTGGTGAATCCTTGAGTCCTAATAGATTGTAGAATAGATTTATCTAAGTGCGCCAAAAGCTGTCACAACTTATCGTAATCATCTACAATTCAACAGAATTTATTACAATCGATGGGTTATAAAAACTTGCACAATCTATCTTGATATGCCAAAACTTACCAAGACACATAAGCATTTCATTATACTGGATTTGCTTTTTCTTTTTACTCACAAATTCTGAAGCATTTTTCTTTTTTTTCCAATTAGTTTCTTTATACTCTGATGAATCCTCACATCCATTAGGATCAGCTTTTTCGACATTCGTTTCGGCACACTTCAAATAATTTATTATACACTTCACCTGGTTTCATCAGAATCCAGCAGAATTCATTAGAGTACACAGGATTCGGGGATCAACGTTCCGCTTTTCTCCCCTTGTTATTATCACCTGTTGGTGTACTTATACATCTCTCACTTTTTTGCATGCAATAAATGTCTTCATCTCGCTGGCTGAGAATCTTAAAATAAGCTTTTCTCGACATTGGTTTTTCGCTATAAATTTCTTCGGCGTTTTTCGATTCGCTAATCTTTCCTTCATTATTTTTTCTTTCAGCCAAATTAATACCATTCGAAATAAGACAGGAACTCATTGAATACGCAGACGTATGGTAAGCCAAGAAACTCTACGGACTCATGAAACTTATTGAGCTCAAGAAACCCGAGGAATTCAATTATTGTAAAGATCTCAAGAATATCAATGATCTCAAGAAACGCATGAATCTCATGGAAGCCAACCATAGCACAAATCTTTCATGTTTTCATTAAAGATCCTTAATAGGCCCCATAAGGACATCTTAAAGGACTCGCTCTTTTTTCCTGAGAGAACGACTAAATATTGAAAGAAATGTGTAGTCACAAAAGGTGTGGGCGTGAGTGTTGGTTCATTATAGCCTAACTCATACCCACAACTTCATGTTGTCTTCCTGTTATGATCGTCCGCTGAGTTAGCTACTATTCTTGATCAAATACTCGTATCAGGACTCAGAACAGATCCTCACTAAAACTTAATAAAATCCTGACAATATTTGGTCTGCTGTTCCTCTGAGGATCCTAGGTAGGATCCAAAGTAAATCCTGGTAGGATGCTAAATTGTTAATTTACGTAGAAAAAAAAATCTGGGCAGGGACTTTAACAAATCCTACAAAGGATCCTGGTTAACCATGAGAATTCTTGAGATCCAGAATCCTGACAGATCCTTTCAAAATTTCACAAGAAATGAGCAAGATTGAAACTAGACAAGGATCTCATAGAATCGATGGACCCAAGAAACTCAAAAAATCCGAGAAACTTATGCAACGCTCAGAGTGTAGGTAGGCATGCACCAAAACCAATACTAGTTTTGAATTTTGGTTTTGAATTTTGGGTTTTGAGGTTTTGGTTTTGATAAGGTATTGGTTTTGATATAGTTTTGGTATCGATAGTTTTGGTTTTGCTATGCTTTTGGTATTGAAGGTATTGGTTTTGGCCGAGTTTTGAGTTTTGTTTTGGTTTTGGTTTTGGTTTTGAGGTACTCATGAAAAAAATTAATTTTTATAAAACAGACCCATAATGCTTTTCTATAAACTCAAGTATATTTGTTCCTTTGAAATGAACTTTTGCCATAACATTACTTATGAAA